CCCCCATGCCCCATTTTGGGCATAGTAGGCCTCTGTGCAGCCTCCTTGGAGCAAAAACGGGTTGTGTAGGGCCACACCGAACCCTTGCCCCCATGCATGCATGTGCATCTCTCTCATGTGCCTCGCACATGTGTGGCAGATACCCCAAAATAAGCTGGCCAGCAGGAGTGGCACAAGCATGCAAAATGGAGCTGAGTTGGGGCAACAGTTTGCATGCCCACAGAGGGCTGTGTGTGCCACCTGTGGCATGAATGCCATAGGTTCACCATCACGGTTATAAACATTAATACTTCTTTGATTTCAACATGTTTATTGCCAGAAAATAAATCCTGAATAACCAGTAAAAGAAGATAATACAGCACTTTAAAATGCTTATTACAGAGTTAATAGCAAACTAGACTAGAGAAACCACAGGTTTTTTTAAGCAACTTTTATATAAACATGTGGGTGGAGGAGGGAGAACAAATAAAGAAAGAGAAAGAGTCAATTTTGCTTGGCTGATTACAGAAAACAAGACTTCTGTGTTGCATCAGTTGTAAATTGTTGCTGGTACCAAACTTGTGTCTTCATTTATCATTGAAGCTAAATATCAGCCAAATTCTTTTTAATGGGAATCAGGGTATGAACTGGATCAGCAATAGATCAAGGAGTCTAAGATTTGTCATTCCCACTGAATGAAATTATTACTTTTTTTTCCAGTCTCTCAGTTTGACTGCTGTTAAGCACTGGAGCTTAGGTTAAGGAAATGTTATTGATATCTTTGGCTAATTCCTTCTTATCCTGATGAAATCTCCACATTTGTAACTTAAATAATTGCATCTTTAAGGACCTTAAGAAATCTTAAAGTGATTGTTCATAACCCAACCAAAGGATAATTTACTAGGAGGATGATACATCACAAAATAAATACAAAGGCTACAGAAATCTGAAGAATCATTAGATGGCAATTAATAGATTGAGAATCTCTGCTCTGGAGTTTTGCAGTCTAGATCTGGTAGCTCTAATTATGCAAATTTATGGAAATGCGTATATAAATCCAACAGGAAGGTGTGTTTATATCTTAGTAGATCATCTGCAACTGTAGACGAAACAAATACAACCCCATTGAAAGATTACACTCTGTACATGTGTCTATGTGCAGTCCAAAACCAGAACAGAAATTTTGGTCCAATTTTAGACTTTTGAGCTTTGGCAGTTTGTCCAATTGATTCCCATCTCTAAAGCCCAGCTGTTTTCAATTTCCAGAAAAAGTCATGCACTATTTGTTAAGGAATATGGTTTTTGCTTTAGGAGAGATTGGTTTTTTGTTTTGTTTTTACTATTATAAATCTCTTCTGTCATACTGTCATATGATGGCTTAGTTATGAAATGATCTTTTTTTTTATTGCAAGAAACTGGAGTGCTGGACAGCCTGATAACTGGAAACATGGACATGGGCCAGGGGAAGATTGTGCTGGATTAATCCATGCTGGGCTCTGGAATGACTTTCACTGTGAAGATGTTAATAGTTTTATTTGTGAACAAGATGTAGAAAAAGGTATGGTAAGCTTCTGAATCAAATGCATTCACATTTATTACAAAGGTTTATTACCAATCAAATTTCCGCAGCTGGGACGAGAGGGAATTGGACATCCTACTCATACAGATAGAAGGTCTTGGAAGAGAATTTGAGATTAATCTTTATTAGTATCTGTGTATAAATATTCTCCCTAGCTGCTTCTGATGTTCAGGCCACTGAGTTTTAAACTATTGGCAAGATTACACAGTATTCTTACTAGGTAACATACACTTGACAATCAGTGTTCAAAAACATGCCCAGCTAATTCTGAAAAAAAACAATGCTTTATTTATTTTTTAAATTTTAATTTTTAATTTAATTTATTTTCCCAGTTAACACCAAAAAGATAGTAATGCAATTTCAGAACTCAAAAACGCAGTTTGAAAGCTATAAACAATAGGGCCTAATGTTCTGAAGATTTTTTAAAGAATATTTAGTGATGCACTTCCTTTCTGGTGAAAATAAAGCGAAGTGGAATGCAACCTTCCCTCCCCCAAATAATAGCAATAGCATTTAGACTTATATACCGTTTCACAGTGTTTTACAACCCTCTCTAAGCAGTTTACAGAGTTAGCATATTGTCCCCAACAATCTGGGTCCCCATTTTACCAACCTCAGAAAGATGGAAGGCTGAGTCAACCTTGAGCCTGGTGAGATTTGAACTGCCAAACTGCAGGCAGTCAGCAGAAGTAGCCTGCACTACTGCATTCTAACCACTGCACTACCACAGCTCGACTTAGAGCCATAATGATAAATATCTCATTAAAATACTGCTGTACTAAAAGTATTATTAAAAACCAAACTTGAAAGAGCAGCCCAAGATATAGCACATAAGAATAGTCAAAGACAATGGATGAAGTGTCAGATGTTATTGCTCAGCTTCTCCTTTCATTAATCATTTCTGTACCTTACATGAAAATGAAAACTTGAAAAACGAGATGCAATTCTGCCTTTGTATTTTGTTATTATCAATTATATAGATAAATTGTTAATATATGACCCTTAGGTTAATTTATTACCAAGGGTTTGAGGTTGGGGGTGAGGGGGGGGGCGGTTCTACCATAAAATTCATTGGATGTTTTGGGCAAATTATTCTGCTTTTTCCCCCTTTCAGCCTAACAAGAAAGCTGGGGTTAGGATGAAGTGCTCATCTGAACTTCTTCAGAAAAGAAAGTGAAAAATATACAGCAAACATAGGGCTCTCTTGAATCAGCCTTCCTTATTTATTAAATTAATATGCTACCTGAATTTAAATTTACAATACAATACAATACCAGAGTTGGAAGGGACCTTCCTAGGCAGGAAAACCATTTCAGACAAATGGCTATCCAACATCTTCTTAAAGACTTCTAGTGTTGGGACATTCACAATTTCTGGAGGCAAGCTGTTCCACTGATTAATTGTTCTAACTGTCAAGAAATTTATCCTCAGTTGTAAGTTGCTTCTCTCCTTGATTAGTTTCCACCCATTGCTTCTTGTTCTGCCCTCAGGTGCTTTGGAGAATTTTTCAGTTAGAACTTTCATGTGTGTTTAAATTTCAGCAGTTTTTAATATCTGGAACATTTTGTTGCTGCAACCNACACAAACACACACACTATATATAAAAGTTTGTATTTCATTTTCCCCACAACAATGTGCTGAGGTATTGAGCTGAATGATTGGCCCCAAAGAACTTCGATTTTACTCAGTCCAGGTAAAATTTATCGGGTTTTCTAGAACAACAGAGAATAGTTTAGTATCCTAAACTTTTGTAATATCCGATCTGAAGAGTGCTATCATATTCCCACTCAGTCTTTTCTCATCAAGCCCAAACATTCTTAGCTCCTTCAATCTCTCTTTTATAATACTTGGTTTCTAATCTCTGATTATCCAATTCACTTGAATCCTTTTTAAAGTGTGGTGCCCAGGACTGGACAAAATACTCTAGTGGGATTGCCAAAGGAAGGAAAAGGAAGTAATATTTCCCTTGATTTGAAAACTATACTTCACTTGATGCAGCCTAAAATTGCATTTTCTTATTTGCATTCATATATTATTGACTCGGAATGTAAAACTATTATTCCAAGTTCTTTTCCAGTACTGGTAAGCCAGTTATTCCCCACCCTGTAGTTCAGCATTTTGATTCTTTTCCTGAATGCATAACTTCAAATATTTCTCTATTAAACTGCATCCTATTATTTTTAGCTTATATTTTTAACCTATTATTTTGAATTTTATTTTAATCTTCCAGGGAAATATGTGCCATCACAAAATATTTTAAGTGCTCCATTTATGTCCTCCTCTAGATAATTAATACAAATGCTGAATAGTCATTGCATTGATGAGTCATCATTAAATATTGTTTACAACTTAACTTTATACACTTAATGCTTATACCTTCCAGCCAATCCATATTCACACCCAACTAAATTTGCATTCTTGGTGGATAACACTCAGATACTCTTGCCTTGGTGTTACCAATCAGTGGTTTATGTTACAAGCTGGAAGGTGGAATAATTTTATCTTATTAATGGGCCTCTTTTCCCCCCCAGTCTCTCTCAGATAAAAAATCATTGCATTAGGCTGCAACTAGACAGAACTTCCTGACATAGCCTAGTCTGCATACTTGTGTTGTATCTTAGCTGTCTTAACAAGAACTTTTACCTTTAGCCCAGCTTCTAAAAAGAACTTTACAGTCCTTGTAAGTGAAAGGTTTTTTTTATCTTTGACAACTTCATGAAATTGAGATATTTTTTATTTAGTGCAACTTTCAAAAACTTCTTCAGTTTCTTGAAATGGAGATTTCTCTCTTTTTGAGATTTCTAGATATCTTTGCAAGCTAGAGAACATGGAAAGATCTAGAATTTTTTAAAGCTTTTCTAATAGTTTTAATACTTTTTTTTTAACCTAATACAATTTTTCCTTGAACATGAATTTTATAATAGTTCCATCATTTTTAAAACTTTCTTCTATAAATGTTTCTCATAATTTGGAAAGTTAATAAAATTTGTTTTGTTTTGTGACGTAATGAATAGAAAAGCAAGGAAAAATTAACATATAGATATTGACTCACCCTCATACCTGTTCAAAATAACAAAAATATAAATAAGAGGAATGCTTGGTAAGATTTTGGACATTCTTTGATGCAACACTGAATCATGTAAACAACAACAATCATGGAAACACAATTAAACAACTTGAAGAAACTTAATGTTTTAAGGAAGCTGTAAACATCTATCAAGTTTTAGTTTTTTGTTGACTTGTGATAAAGGCATACTTATAGATTAAGTTTTCTTGAGTTCTTTGGAGGAGCCCAGTATTTTTTAAAAATACTTTGAAATTGATTTATATTTAAAGTAGGTATATGTTCTTAGTACTAACAGGTACTGCAGTTTATTAATTTTATTACAGTATATTATTTTATTATTATTCTGACCTTCTCCACATATCCATTTTATTGTAGGTCCTCCAGGTCCAAGAGGGTCCAAAGGTGACAGAGGACCCCAAGGTCCAATTGGACTTACTGGGCCCAAGGGACAAAAAGGAGACAAAGGAGAACCAGGACCTCCAGGACCTCAAGGTGAAAAGGGACCAAGTGGCCCATCTGGAATACCAGGTGAAAAAGGTGGAAAAGGTTCCAGAGGTTCACCTGGATCTAAAGGCCAGAGAGGTTCAACTGGGAAGACTGGGCTGCCCGGTCCTAGTGGAGATCCAGGACTCCCTGGACCACCTGGCAAAGATGGACCCCCTGGCCCACAAGGCCCACCTGGACCCCCAGGTCTTCAAGGATTTGTTGGCGAACCAGGGATACCTGGTGCTCGTGGGTTGTCTGGTTTCCCAGGTGTACCTGGACTACGTGGTCTTCCAGGCGAGCCTGGTCCTCCTGGACCGCCAGGTCCAGCAATAGCTATGGCACTACAAGGCGAAATTAGCGGTAAGCTGTTAACAAACCCACTATCTGTCTGCATGCTTCACTGTGTATTTATTACCAATATATAAAAGTACAGTTTGTAACTACCGGTATGTTGACTATTGGATTGTATTGTATTCTGTGTACACATTGCAATGGAAGTTTATCTATTCAGGCCTCCAAGAAGCATGAAATGAATATCATGTTTTTTAAATCCATGATTTCTAAGGAGGTACAGAAAGCAATTGTTACCTCCCCCCTCCCGTCAGAATTCCTCACATTCTCTTTCACAGCAGTTAATTAAATCCAGCCATTTAATCTATCACATTATACACAGGGAGATGGTCTGGGGCCATGAAGCACATTTTTTTCCTGTCTTTCTCGCTCACCTTTTAAAGCTTCTCTCTATAGTATTAAGAAGACAATAAGTAATTGTGACCCTTGTTATAAGTCCTAGTATGTTGTACTATTATATATAAAAAAGTAGAACCTCATGTTGACCACTTCCTCTTCCCCATCTTTTTATCTCTCTTCCTTCAACTGTCATATACATTCAGTGATATCTAAAGTTCATTGAACATTCTGATTTTTCATTGGGCTTTTTTCTCCTTAGTTTTTAATTCACAAAGTATTTTCCATGTTGCTGCAGAACCCATATACATACATGAGGACCAATATCTATCTCTTGTAATAATGGAAAATGTTATGTATTATATGGAGAAAGTGAGCAAAACATAGTATATTGCCAGTATTCCTGTTAAAACCTGATAAGTAATTGTGTAGGATTGTTCAAATCTCATTGTTAATACTTCTTTCAAACTTTGCATACAAAGTTACTCAGAATGGTGTTAGAAGAATGATTTTGATACATGAAAAAAGATCTGGAAAAATCTTTTCAAAATTTATCCTGCAGTAATATTATTAAACTGAGCTCCTTTTTCCTTTATAAAATAGAAATGATTTGAAGGCCAATTTGACAGAAAATGATGGCTGCAACTCTCAATAATGGAAATTCCATTTCAACAATATTCTGAATAGATAGTTTTTCAAATTACTTGGCTTCCAATAATGTTATTCAAAACTATATCTACTAGGGTTATGATTGCTTCAAGAGTAAATCAAAAATCGTTTCTTGGGTTTCACATGAGCACAGTGTCCCTGATGTTTATTTAAAACTCTCAGGCTTCTGTGTGAGTTTGAAAAAAAAATATGCTGGTGTTTTAATAGTGGCATTGATTTTAATGGGTTGGTTCTTAAAATAGAGGCATCTTTTTCAGGCCATACTAAAGCCTAGAAAAAAATCAGGCTGCCTTTACATATAGCACAACAGAATGCTGCTGTATGTCCCTGAGGTCTGAAACATTTCTTTCAAGTCATTTTCAAAGTGTGCAGAGCCCTAATTTCTAAGGGGAAGGTTACATTTTCATTCTCGTGAGGGTTTATATGCAAGTGTTTCATGTTACAGGTTGTCCTGCTTACTGGAAGAACTTTTCAGGCAACTGCTACTACTTTTCAAATGAAAGAGCCATATTTGATGATGCAAAGCTTTTCTGTGACGAAAAATCATCTCATTTGGTTTTCATCAATAGCAAAGAGGAACAGGTATAAAATGCCATTTAGCATGCTGTTAGATTTAAAGTACAAAAGAGCAAGTATGGAACATCATTACTTCCAGCCATGCCAGTTGACAATGATTGGAATTGAGTAGGTTAGACAAGACAGTCAGAAAGAAAGCATCTTATACATTGCAGGATCCAATCTGATCCTCTGGGACCAGAGGTTTAGTCTTATAAGCTTTCGGACTCAAGCTGGAGCCCATCTTCAGGAACTTGTCTCTCACCAGAATTTGTGTGACCACAGAAGATTCAACTGCTGGCTCCCATGACCAACCCAGATTGGATCCTCCAACATTACCCTGACACACATATATTTGCCTTCATTCATTTTATAGGTATCAATGTCTCATAAATATAAACATCTGACTAAAGATAATCAGGAGGGATGATCGGGGGATTTCAGTCTTACTGTAAAAAGTTGACAAAAAATGCAAGTAGTCCTTGTTTAGAAACTGCCTTATTTTATGACCATTTGCAGTTACAATGGTGATGAAAATGTAACGTTGTGACCAATCCTTGCATTTACTTGCTATTAAGCAAAGGAAAGCTGTAGTAAGATTATAAGCACAGTTGCAGTTTCACTAGCAACTATTTTTGCTTAACAGCGGAGTTGCCACTCCTACTTGTACTTGCATGGAAGACCAGCCATCACTTGTTATAGGAGCATCTGATGCTGTTACTTGGGTTGAATATTATGCTGAAAATCCATGTTGATTTTTCTTTCTTGAAATGGAGCTGTCAGAGGCTGCCAGTTTGTTCAGAGCAGTCCACGAGAAGAGGAGGATCTATCTCTCTTTCTTATATGGCTGATATTGTGAGGCCTATGCCACCCCACCCACCCCCGCCCAAATTGATTTTCTTTTCTAAAGCAAAATGCAGGTTAGGAGGTTGACTCAGCAAAGGTGAGGACTGGAAAAAGAATACATACCTTCTTCCTGTCCATTTTGTCATTTTAATAAAATGACATTTCCGGATAGCTAGGCTTTACTACATGACAAAACAAAGTTGAAGGCAACATAAGCAATATGTAGTTTGACCCAGTGGTGAAATTCACATTTTTTTTACTACCGGTTCTGTGGGCGTGACTTGGTGGGCATGGCAGGGGAAGGATACTGCAAAATCTCC